CAGCAACCTCCAACTCCTGGGCTTAGGCGATTCTTCTGCCTCAGCCTCCCAAGTAGCTGGGACTACAGGCGCCCGCCACAACGCCCGGCTATTTTTTGTTGCAGTTTGGCCGGGGCTGGGTTTGAACCCGCCACCCTGGGTATATGGGGCCGGCGCCTTACTCACTGAGCCACAGGCGCCTCCCTGCTTATTTTTTTCTTTTAGAGACGGGGTCTTGCTATGTTGCCCAGGCTGGATTTGAAATCTTGCACTCAAGTGACCCTCCAATCTCAGCCTCCTAATTAGTTGGGACTACATCATACCCAGCTTATTTTGTCCAGTCCAAGCTGCAGAATAAAACTCTTCTCTGGGCTGAGCATGGTAGCTCACACCTGTAATACTAGCACTCTCTAAGCTCAGGAGTTCCAGACCAGCCTCAACAAAAGATAGAAAAACTAGGGGGGGCATTGTGGTGGGCACCTGCTAGTCAGGAGGCTGAGGCAAGAGAATTGCTTAAGCCCAAGAATTTGAGGTTGCTGTGAACTACAATGACACAGCATTGTATCCAGGGCAACAGAGTGAGACTGTCTCAAAAGGAAAACAAAAATAAATAAAAAGACCTCTTCTCTGATAACTATATTACCGCACACTGAAAACTGGGACACTGAGGGAGGGATGGGAAGTCACTCAGCTACTTGAATTCTGCTAACAGAAATATCATAATGGGTCCCTTTTTGGACTTTTTAAAAAGTCCTGTTTTTTTTTTCTTTAGAGACAGAGTCTCACTTTATCACCCTCAGTAGATTGCCGTGACGTCACAGCTCACAGCAACCTCCAACTCCTGGCCTTAGGTGATTCTCTTGCCTCAGCCTCCCGAGTAGCTGGGACTACAGGTGCCTGCCACCATGCCCGTCTATTTTTTTGTTGCAGTTTGGCAGGGGTTGGGTTCGAACCTGCCACCCTTGGTATATGGGGCCAGTGCCCTACCTACTGAGCCACAGGCGCCACCCAAAAGTCCTGTTGAATTAAAGTAAAATAAAGGAGTTACAAACATCTGATGTACAACTCAGACTTACAGAGACTATTCCAGGTAATAGGTATTTGTACCTGTTACAACTTACATACGAATTCAACTTAAGAACAAACCTACAGGACCTATCTCATTCATAACCTGGGGATGTCAGTTGTAACATTAATAATGGCAGCTACATTACTATTTAGCGCATCAATGAGAATTCTGATGTGTAAGAAGAGAGGTTCTTTTTGACCACTTCACTTTGTTAAAAGCAGTTTTAAAGAGTCCTTACCTCTATTAAGATCTCTCCACATACACGTATCTGCTCACTGAGCTATTCTTCAATGTAAAAATTATCTGTTTGGGCCCTGATAACAGACTAAGCATTCATTGCTCTTTACAACACGTGACTTAGTGTATGCCATCACACCCAAAACACTAAGTATTAGTGAGGACAGTTGAACCTTGAAAAACTTGGGGGCTAGGGGCTCCAACTCCCAAGTCAGAAATCTGTATATAACTTCTGACTGCCCCCAAACTTAAATACTAATAGCCTATTATTGGCCAGAAAGCTTACTGACAATTTAAAGTTGATCAACACATTTTGTATGTTATATATATTATATACTGTACTCTTACAATAAAGTAGGCTAGAGAAAAGAAAATATTAAGGAAATCATAAGGAAAAGAAAATATATTTGCTATTCATTAAGTAGAAGCGGATCATCATCATCTTCACATTGAGTAGGCTGAGGAGGAGGAGGAAGAGGAGGGTTGGAGCTGCTGTCCCAGGGATGATAGAGAGGGAAGAAAAATCTTGTGCAAGTGGACTCATGCAGTTCAGTCCTGTGTTGTGCAAAGGTCAACTGCAATTTCTAACAAAATGACATTTGTCTTTTGTCTTTTTTTTTTTTTGGACAATCTTTTGTATTTAGAGGCAGTTGGTGCTGATAGATATTTCCACCCCTGGAAATGGTGACTGGACCCATTCATAGAAACAGGAGACTTAGCATGGACCATACATCTGCCATGAAAAGTAGGGTTTCTTTTCTTTCAAGAACAAGAAAGGGGAAGTTCTTGGGAACTATAGTGATGCAGGGCTGCTGTGAATCTTAGAAGAACACGAGACTCCACTTTTAAGGGTCTGCCATTCACACAATAAACCCCATTGGTTTGCATTATTTTTTTTTTTTTTTTGCAGTTTTGGCCGGGGCCGGGCTTGAACCCACCACCCCTGGCATATGGGGCCAGCGCCCTACTCCTTGAGCCACAGGCGCTGTCCTTGGTTTGCATATTTATTATGATAATTTTCTGGCAGGTATTTAGTCAAGTGTCTTATTCTAACAAAATTCATATTAAAATTTCTTTTTTTGCTGCCCTGGGGTTGAGTGCGACGGAGTCATACCTCACAGCAACCTCAAACTCTTGGGCTCAAGCAATTCCTCTTGCCTCAGCCTCCCAAGTAGCTGGGATTACAGGTAGCTGCCACAACACCCAGTTATTTTTAGAGACTAAGTCTCACTCTGGCTCAGGCTGGTCTCAAACCTCTGAACTCAGGCAATCCACCCACCTTGGCGTCCCAGAGTACCAGGATTACCGGCATGAGCCACTGCGCCCAGCCATTTTGTTGTTGTTGTTGTTTTTGCTACAGTCTCACTCTGTTGCCCTGAGTAGAGTGCCATGGCATCATAGCTCACAGCAATCTCCAACTCTTGGGCTCAAGCGACTCTCCTGTCACAGACTCCTGGGTAGCTAGGACTACAGGTGCACGCTACAACACCTGGCTAGTTTTTCCATTTTTAGTAGAGACAGGGTCTTGCTCATGCTTAAGCTGGTCTTGAAATCCTGAGCTCAAGGAATTCACCCACCTCGGCCTACCAGAGTGCTAGAATTACAGGTATGAGCCACTGTGCCTGGCCAGGAGTACATTTTTCTAATTAACACCTAGGAACTTGGAAATAAGCAAAGAAGCCTGCCCTCTAGGAGTTGCCCTTTAAAATGAATACAGAGGTCCTGATGCAGCCTCCTCTGAGAAAAGGAAATCAGCCTGTGATTTCACTATCTGAACCTGTGGTTCTTTCTGAGACAAGAGTCTTACTGTGCCCTGGGTAGTGTTGTGCTCTCTTTGCTCACAGCAACCTCAACCTCAAATTCTTGGACTCAGGAGATTCCCCCTGCCTCAGTCTCCCAGGAAGCTGGGACTACAGGTGCTCACCATGCCTTGGTATTTTTTCTATTTTTAGTAGAGAAGGGGGTCTGGCTTTTGCTCAGGCTGGTCTCAAACTCCTGAGCTCAATTCATCCACCTGCCCTGGCCTCCCAGAGTGCTAGGATTACAGACATGAGCTACCACACCTGGCCCTGAACCTGTGGTTCTAAATCATTGAGTTGGAGTAAACAGGCCTGTGGTTTGTCTATCAGCCTTTGTGGCTCTGGTTGACAGACATCATCAATAGAGATGGATCCACTCTGGGGTTCAGAACAGTCATGTTTCTAAGGATAAGAGCCTGACCCCATGTAACTTCACTGAGGTCCTGCTTCCACTTAGGACAACACCCTGGGATTCTCATAAAGTGAGTTTGAGCTGGCCTATCTTAAGAACCATGGGAGATGTTTTTAAGCATGCAGATTCCTGGGTCCCAATCCAGCAGGTCTGGAGTGGACCCAGACATCTTTATGTTTAACAAGTATTCTGTAATCTGTCACGGGAATTTAAAGAAAAAAACAAACCAACCAACCAGCATTCCAGGTGACCCTTATGTCTAGGTGAGTTTAGGAAATCCTGTTCTAATGTTTCTGAGAAGGGGAGGGAAATCAGGTTAACTTGAGCTTAAACAGTCCCCTTACCATACAGACAGGAAGAGGGATGGGAAAGTGGGAGGCAAAACCCAAACCCAAGAAGCTTTCTATGTGCGGTGGGGAGAGAAAAGGAAAAACTTAGGAAGATGGATCCTGCATTCTGCCTTTTGTAGGCTATGCCAGAATCTGCCTTCTGGGATGGGCAGTGGGAAGAGCTAGCAAGGGTTTAGCAAGCCTGAGCCTTGGTAGGCATCACGCAGTAGCCACAGGTCAAGGAGCAAAGCAGTCACAGTGCTGCCTGCCCTCAGGTCTGGACTGGGTCCAGGATTGGGTCATTTGGCCAACACCCCAGTGAGGGGTTAGGTCTTTGCCTTGTCCTACTTTAAGAATCAATGAAGCTCTGGGGACAGAGGACTGAAATGCTGTGGGGTTAATGACAGGATGGTGGAATCACACTGGCCATCAAATTCTACAGAGTCCAGGGGGCTGCAACTAGATCCCTGTCCTGGGTTCCAGCCCTTTCTGACACCCCCACCAGCCATGCTCAGAACAAAGTCAGGATTGGTCTTTCTTTGCTCACTAACCCCTTCAACAGAGGGGACATCAGTCCTGGAGATGAGGTGGAGGACAGACTAAAAAGTACCCTCCAAGGACCCGTTCTAAGCCTCAACAGCCAAGGGAGGAAAAGCTTCCACTCTGCTTCATTCCACTCTGTAGCCTTGGCTGCCCCCAACCTGGGGGAGTTGAAGAGAGGCTGGGCCCAGGCTATGAGGGTGCCCCCTTCACTCCCAAGAGTTTGGGCCCCAGAGCCTCTGCACTATACTCAGGGCGCCTTGAGCAATATATCCTCTCCTACCCATTGGGCCCAGCTAATGAAAGGATGAGATGGAGTCTCAGTGTGGGTGCTCAAAGAGGGCACAGATTTGGAAAGACTTTCTGACGTTCTCTCCTTCCAAGAAGCCAGTGCTGCTTCCTACTTTCCTTTTATAATAAAAGAATCTTGGTGTTGGTAATGGATTAAGGCCAGGAACCAAACCAATTCAATATGAATTATAGTATCAGTGCCAGGTGTTGGGGAAAGAGGTCCTGGCAGCTGTGGACAATACAAATGGACTTGAAATCTGAAAACAAGAGTCTGAGTCCCAGCTATACCTCTCATTAACAGTAGGGTGGCTGGGTGTGATGGCTCACTCCTGTAAACTCAGCACTTAGGCTGAGGTAGGAGGATAACCTGAGGCCAGGAGTTTGAAACCAGCTCGAACAACACAGTGAGACTCCATCTCTACAAAAATGTTAAAATTAGCTGGTGTAGCAGCACATGTCTGTAATCCCAATTATTCAGGTTGAGGTGGGAGGATGCCTTGAGCCCAGGAGTTCAAGGCTGTCGTAAGCTATTACTGTGCTACTACACTCCAGCCAGGGTGACAAAGCAAGAGCCTATTTCAAATAAAAAAGAAAGAAAAGAAAGGAAAGAAACAGTAGGACCTTGGGCACATCACTTGACTTGAGCCTGTTTTCTCTTCTGTAATACAATATGGGGCTAAAAGCACCCATCTCTCAAGTGTGTTGTAACCCTTAAAATTAAAGCACTGTGGCTCGGCGCCTATAGCTCAACCGGCTAAGGCGCCAGCCACGTACACCTAAGGTGGCGGGTTCGAATCCCCAGCCTGGACCCGCCAAACAACAATGACGGCTGCAACCAAAAAATAGCCGGGCGTTGTGGCGGGCGCCTGTGGTCCCAGCTACTTGGGAGGCGGAGGCAGGAGACTCGCTTGAGCCCAGGAGTTGGAGGTTGCTGTGAGCTGTAATGCCACGGCACTCTACCCAGGGGGACAGCTTGAGGCTCTGTCTCAAAAAAAAAAAAAAAAAAAAAAAAAAAAGCACTGTGAATACATACAATTGTCATCACTATTGCTACCAATTGCCTTGATCTCTGCCCTCAGGACAAACTGGGGAGGGGCCTGAACCTTCCATCTCTTCTCCCTAGAGGCCAGCTTCCCTAATCCTCCCCAGGCTCAGAAGAACATGGTGTAATCAGGTGTTATTGGGAGACCAAGATGTCCTCCCCTCTGGGTTCCAGGTACTATTAATAGTTAGGAAGAGCAGTGATCAAGTGTGATTATCAAAGAACAAGGTTCAAGACCAACAGGCAGGGCCAGATGGAGGTGGGAAGGAGGGACAAAAAGCCAGTAAACTTTACACAACAAATGGGGAAAGAGGAGAGGCTGGAGAGAGGGAGGAAAGGAGGGCAGCCAGGTACCCAGGACACAAGTGAGTAGCGTGAGCCAGGGTCAGTGCACTGTGCTGGGCCTTCCCTGCACTTGCTGTTCCAAACAGTTGGCTGGCAGGTTCAGTCTTAATAACGGGGAGGATGGGAGTATTCTCTCACTCCTCAGCCCCAAAGGCTGGAACATGAGAAGCAGGAAAGAGCAACAAGGGGTTCCTGGGGACCTCTGAGGCCTGAAGAGGGTTCAGACATAGGAACCCAAAGGCCAGAAGGTTTTTACTCTGAGAGCCCCGTGGAGGGCAGACAGAGTGCAAGGTGCCCACAGGAAGGGTGAACACAGAGCCGCTATGGGGTGCTGCAGTCTTGCTCCCTTCTGAGCATAGGAGGGAGGTCAGGTGAAGCTCCTGCCTGCCCTCCTTATGAGCTGTGGACCCAGTCCTGGTGCCCAGCTCTGACATCTGTCTCTCCTGAGTTCACATTGGCGTCCTTGAAGTCCAGAAACCACACGGCCTGCCTAAAGTCCAGGTCGGGAGAGGGATGCGTGGCAGAGGGTAAAGGCTGGCACGGGCTGACCATAGCTGAGGATTTCTTCCTGGGGCTTATATCTTTTCTTGACAGAAGAGGGCACAGCCAAGGCAGGGAGAACCTGAAGGAAGCAGTGCCATCTTTGCCTGCTACAGTCGTGCCCCAGACGCTCCGGCTGCAATATCAAGGTTCTCGTTACAGGTGACACTGGGTTAGGCTCAAAGCTCATCAGGGGGGCTGTGTGTGAGGGGGGTTGCCTTCTGAATGCCCTCATCCTCCTCAGGGCTGGGGTCTCCCTCGAGGCCACCCAGCTCCTTCCTTTGTTTGCTGCTGCTGCTCCTGCTGCCGGATGCCTTGGCCCTGCTGCTCTTCTTCTTGGACTGCTTCCCTCCCAGTGCAGCTGTGTCTCCCTTCTTGCCGGACCACTGCTCTGCCAGGCAACCTGGGGTGAGGAGAGATACTCAACAGAGGTACCTCAGGACTGGTTTGCTGGGTGAGGAGTACTGATCAGGGAGCCACTGGGAACAGCAACTGGAACTGGCACCTGACATCAGTTCCCTATTTTCTTTTTCTTTTTTTTTTTTTTTTTTTTTTTTTTTTTTGAGACAGAGCCTCAGGCTGTCCCCCTGGGTAGAGTGCCGTGGCATTACAGCTCACAGCAACCTCCAACTCCTGGGCTCAAGCGAGTCTCCTGCCTCCGCCTCCCAAGTAGCTGGGACCACAGGCGCCTGCCACAATACCCGGCTATTTTTTTTTTTGGTTGCAGCCGTCATTGTTGTTTTGGCAGGTCCGGGCTGGGGATTCGAACCCGCCACCTTAGGTGTACGTGGCTGGCGCCCTAGCCGGTTGAGCTATAGGCGCCGAGCCCAGGTCCCTATTTTCTACCTCACTGTGGCTGCCAGGCCCCTCTGGGGCACCTGGCTCATCTGCATGTTATTCTGCCCCAGGTTTCAGTGCCTCTTACCTCACCACCGCTTACCATGGCCCCTGAGGGCAGAGATCCTACCATGCCCTCTGATGCCCTCTATTTCCTTTCCATCCTCTCCGACCCACCTCCCTGGAGGGAGAGCAAACAATGAAATCATCCAGGGCAAACCTGCCCTGCCTTCTCCAAACCCTTGGACTCACTGGTGTCCTTTCCCTTCAGCACGTGGTTGGCGCAGAGGAATTCTGTCAGGTCCTCCTCCTGGTGGTTCCTGTACCAGTCCTCGATCACCTCCTCAAACTCTTCCACCAGCACATCACACTGTCAATCACAACACCTCATATTGGCAAAGCCCCAGCCCCCGACTGCTCCTAGAGGAGCTCAGCTAGGCCTTGCAACCCACCACAAGATAGGCAGGTGGCTGTAATCTACCCAAGTAAACTGAAGGCAGAGAGGTGAAATGACTAAAGTCACCCAGCCCTTGGTGGCTTCTTCCAAGGAGACCCAATCCCCACTCATCTGCCCTCCCCATTGGGTGTAATAGCCTCCAAGGGCTAAAGGGCCTGTACCTGCTTTTTGAGGTCAGCCACCTCTGCAGAAGTCTCATTCCACAGTTCATAGGGGATGTCCATCACCACCTTGACCCCTTTGTGTACCAGGTTGTGTAACGTCTCAAAGGTCTCTGACATGCCCTAGAAGAGGCAACCAAACATGGGAGGCAGAGCTACCTTCTCTACCCCCGCCCTCCTCTCCCAATGGTGTCTTAAGAACACAGTTCTGAGAAGTCAAGATCCTCTATAGCAGGGGCATCCAACTTGCAGCCCATAGGTCACATGCTGATTTTGTGAGGACTTTTTTGCTTATCTGTGGTGTCAGATATCACGTATGCATGGACCTCTTTTTTACTAATCAGCTGTTACAGTGTTTATGTATTTAATGTGTAGCCCAAGACAATTCTTCTTCCAATGTGCAGCAGAGATTTAAAAAAAGGCTGGATACCCCTACTAAAGCTTCTCTTCCTTAACCGCACCCTGCCCTCCCCTTTTAGGGCCTGCTTCCCACAATCCTTACACATTACAACCTGACCTGCCTCCTCAAACTTCATCTTTTCACGAAGATTGCTGTTGGCCTCAGGCCCTTTTATTTTTTTTGAGACAGGGTCTTACTGTGTCAACTGGGCTAGAGTGCAGTGGACTAGAATGCAGTGCTGTCATCATAGCTCGTCATAGTCATCCTCCTACCTCAGCCTCCCAACCAGCAAAAGACTACAGGCAAAGTGCTACCACGTCCAGTTAATTGTTTCTATTTTTAGTAGAGACGAGTCTCACTTTTGCTTGAGTTGGTCCCAAATCCTGAGCTCAAGTGGTCCTCCCACCTCAGCCTCCCAGCCAGGCCCTTTGAATTTATACTCCTTTTCCAGGCAATCAATTTCTCTTGGCTATTTCCCCTCACTATGGTAGGATACACTCCAACTCAAAGATCAGTTTGACTCAGTTCATTAAGAACTACTTCATTCTTTGTTTTCCATCTGCACATTAGGCCCCCAAATGCCCATATCAATGTATTTAACTGCTTCCCTACTGGTGGACAGCACCATTGTTTCCAATTTTTTTTTTTTTTTTGAGACAGAGTCTCACTATGCTGCCCTTGGTAGAGTGCTTTGACATCACAGCTCACAGTAACCTCAAACTCTTGGGCTTAAGCGATTCTCTTACCTCCCGCACACAATGCCCAGGTATTTTTTGTTGCAGTTGTCGCTGTTTAGCTGGCCCGGGCTGCGTTCGAACCTGCCAGCCTTGGTGTATGTGGCTGGCACCATAACCACTGCTATGGGTGCCAAGCCTATTTCCAATTTTTTTAACTATGGGAAAAATTTTAAACACTTTTTACTAAAGTAAATACAAATGTATTATTCAGTGCAAAATTTATATGAGTTTCTGCTGCTTGAGACTATAACCTTAGGTATTCTAGAGTTTTATAATTCGTTGCCCTTGCCAGAAGGAAACTTAGGTAGAAGAATATTGGTAGCGGCTCAGCACTTGTGGCTCAAGTGGCTAAGGCACCAGCCACATACACCTAAGGTGGCGGGTTCGAATCCAGCCCAGGCCCGCCAAATAACAATAATGGCTGCAACCAAAAAATGGCCAGGCATTGTGGCCGCGCCTGTAATCCCAGTTACTTGGGAGGTGGAGGCAGGAGACTCGCTTGAGCCCAAGAGTTGGAGGTTGCTATGAGCAGTGAAGCCATGGCACTCTACTCAGGGGCTCAGCTTGAGGCTTTGTCTCAAAAAAAAAGAAAAAAGAAAAATATTGGCAGCAACTATCTTACCATGTGGCAGGCACTGATGACATAGCAAAAAAGAACTATGGGCCTGTTGTAAGCAGCTTATTCTCTAGGGAGAGATGCATTCGTACATATAGTGAACATACTAAATGTCACATAGGTACTCTGGTAGGGATCTACAGAGGTACCATGTGGGCGTAGATGAGGAACTGGGCAATCGCTGCCCCTAAATATTTTCTTACAGCTCCCCTAAACCCTCACATGTCTGCACATCCTGGATCCTGCTGAGTTCTCCCTGTTCAAGTGTCTTAGATCCCCACGCAAGCTGCCACTCAGGATCATTTCTGCCTGGGTCTAAAACTGAAACAAGACCCTCATAGACAGCTTCAGCCCAGCACAAATGTGCCTACTGCCACTTAAAGGCCACTCAGGAAGAGAGGAGTGTAAATGGCAATCAAAGGACGGGAAGAGGCCAAGAGGGAAGCTCCCAGGGCATCATCTTCAATTTGCACTCACACACAAAGACATACTCAAGATGTACGCAGGCCTGGCCCAGAGGGGATAAAGGACAAGCAAAAATCCAACCTTGGCAAACCGGTTGCTGCCCGTCCTCTCCTTGTGCAGACTGTAGTCCAAAAGCCTCTTGCAAATGGTCTCAGTGACTTCAATTAACCGTAAGTCCCTGCCGAGACAACAGCACAAGAGGAACTAAATTCCTCTCTTAGCCCCAGTGAGTTAATGGTCCATCCCTCCAGCCCTGCTGCCCCAACACCTGTGCTTCTCACCAACAGGAAGTAAGTCAGAGCTGGAAAGAAGATAGGGCATCTGGTTTGGGGGCTCTGAAATGCTGGAACACAGACCAGAGAGACAATATTTTAACAGCTCTAAGGTAAGAAATGTTTTGTAAATAATTATGTATGTATCTATCTAGAGACTGGGTCTGGCTCTGTTGCCTGGACTAGAGTACAGTGGTATGATCACAGCTCACTGTAACCTCAAATTCCTAGGCTCAAGAGATTCTCCTGCCTCAGCATCCTGAGTAGCTGGGACTACAGGTGCCTATCATAATACCCAGCTAATTTTTTCTATTTATAGTAGGCATGAGGTCTCACTCTTGTTTAAGCTAGTCTCGAATTCCTGACCTCAAGGGATCTTCCTGCCTTAACCTTCCAGTATGCTAAGATTATAGGTGTGAGCCATGGTACCCAGCCCTTAGATTTTTTTTTTTTTTTTTTGAGATAGAATCTCACTATGTCGCCCTCTGTAGAGTGCTATGGCATCACAGCTCACAACAACCTCAAACGCTTGGGCTCAAGCGATTCTCTTGCCTCAGCTTCCCAAGTAGCTAACACTATAGGCACCTGCCACAACGCCCAGCTATTTTTTGGTTGCAATTGTCAATGTTGTTTAGCCGGCCTGGGCCAAGTTCAAACCCGCCACCCTCGGTGTATGGGCTGGTGCCATAACCACTGTGCTACAGGTGCTGAGCCAGCAGCCCTTAGATTTTTTTTAAGATTCTTTTCTGGGGGTAGAGACAGGGTTTCAATATGTTCCTCAGGCTGGTCTCCAACTTCTGGCCTCAGTGATACTTGAGTTGGCCTCCCAAAGTGCTAGGATTACAGATGTGAGTCAGTGTACCTGGGAGTAGTTTTTTTTTTCTTTTAGGCCGAGTTATGCTCTGTCACCCAGGTAGTATACAGTGGTGTCATCATAGTTCACTCTAACCTTAAACTCTTGGGCTCAAGCAATCCTCCTGCCTCAGCCTCCCAAGTAACGGGGACTATAGGCACCTGCCACAATGCCCAACTAGTATTTCTATTTTTAGTAAAGATGGGGTCTTACTCTTGCTCAGGCTGGTTCAAGTGATCCTCTTTGAACTCAAACTCCTGAGTTCAAGTGATCCTCTTTCCTTGGTGTCCCCGAGTGCTAGGATTATAGGCATGAGCCACCATGCCTGGCTCCAAAATATCATTTCATCTTAAAAGGATGGAACATAGCTGAGGGGTTTTTTTTTTAAGGGTTTTTTTTTTTTTTTTTGAGACAGAGTGAGACAGAGTCACCTTTGGTAGAGCACTGTGACATCACAACTCACAGCAACCTCCAGCTCTTGGGCTTAGGTGATTCTCTTGCCTCAGCCTCCCGAGTAGCTGGGACTATAGGCACCCGCCACAGTGCCTGGCTATTTTTTTGTTGCAGTTTGGCTGGGGCCGGGTTTGAACCCACCACCCCTGGTATATGGGGCTGGCGCCCTACTCACTGAGCCATAAGCGCCACCCTTAGCTAAGGGTTTTTTTGTTTTTAATATTTATAACTGGCAAAATAAAAAGCTGGTAATCCTATGATACCAATATTTTTATAAACCACATTGATCCAACAGTCTTGCTTTTACAGATAAGAAATCTGAAGCCCAAAGAAGTTAAGGAATTTATACAGGTCACACAATTAGTTGGGGGTGAGGAGGGGCAGAACCAGCAGGCAAACTTGGGTCTCAGTTACCACTGACTCCCTTCTGGTGGGTTTGCTCAGCTGGAAAGGAAAAGGAAACAGAGCAGGCCAGGCCAGGAGCCCATTCACTTACGACTTAGTGTATTTGACTCCAGATGCCTTCTGGTCCAGGATGCCATAGCCTGTGCCAATCACCTCCTTGGTCTTGCCTGTTTCCTCAAAAGCTGACTTTAGCTCAACGGCAACATATTTACAGACTGGAGAAAGGAGAAACAGAATAGTCTACTAAGCGCACCTGAGTCTAATGGGAGGTGAGCGCCCATAAGGAAGGGTACCACATCACCAATGGAGTCCACTACGTGAAGCCAGGGCTCCAAGATCCACTGCCCCGCATCTACTCTTGGCCCTGACTTTATTTCTTCCACCATACACTCCCATCCCCCTCAACCCTATCATTTTACTTTAAAATATTCCATATTCTCAGAGAAGGAGCAAGATGGCAGCTGACTAACAGCTTCTTTGCAACTGGGCACGGTAAGTCCGGGGAGAGGAGACTACAAGCATCTCTGGCTGGTGGGATTGGCCCAGAAACATCCCTTTGGAGACACAGGGAGTCAGCAAGGGACTTCTGGACCCCATAAGCAGGACAAAAGCAGTGGAGAACTGGCAAGTGTTTGCGTGTGTTTGTCCAGTCTAATCCCACTGGGCAGCTGTAAGTACAGCAGCTACAAGGATTGCAAACTGGAAAGGCCTTACCTGTGAGCTGTTGGGGTATTTTTTTGGACTTGGGACTCAGTTGCACTACCTTGGGAGAACTTGGGCAGGAGAGCAGAAGACTTTAGGTATCATCTAGGGCCCCAGACTAGATGGTGAGCCGGATGGTGCTAATAGTATTCTTGGCTGTGCGCCCCCACAAAGCCATTATGGGAGAACTACCCCAGCAAGCTCCGCCCTCAGGGTCACAGAAGAAGGATCTGGCAGGAGTGGGAGCGAGTAATCTAGTGACTGAGCAGCCTAAGGGCGGGGGCTGAGACCCCTTGCAGCCGTGGCCCTCAGGGGCATAGTGTGAGATTGGTTTTGACACCCTGGTAAGTAGATAGCCACTTCAGGAGTGATCCTAGCAACAAGTGCTTTCCCAGGAAAGCTACTGCTTAGCCCAGGTTGGCAGTTTAAAGTGCCTTTTAAGCTAGCTGAGGTGAGATTTAGGCTCTCTACCCTATGTGGTTTTAGAAATCAGCAGTGGCCTCCAGTCTCCATCTCTCTACAGCCGTATCAGCATTGTGATTAACATCTCATAC